CTTCTTTCTTACCTTTTGTCCTATCTGGATCTGGTCCTCTCTTAACCTTGTGTCTGTGGTCCTGGTTCTTAGGCGTTTTGAGCTTATAAACTGAACAAATAGATTTCACACTTTCGTCTGGATTGTCATTTTGATTGAGCATAAATTTCTATTGTCTCGTCTCCAATGGACATAGTAAGATGACCCGCTCTGATGTGGATGACGACATCTGCTGTGTTGAGGAAGGGACGCCCTAGAATGATAGGCATGCTTGAATCTGCATCCATGTCAAGAACCACAAAATCGACAGGTATGTAATAATCACCCACCTTAAGTGGCATATCCTCCAGTATATATGCAGGCCGTTTGGTCGACCTATCTGCCAACAGTAATATCATTTGTGTGGGTTTGAGTTCACCCACACCTAGTCTCTTGAAGATCGACAATGGCATTAGGCTTACGCTTGCTCCTAGATCACATAACGCCTGTTCAATATAGAGATTGCCCAGTTTGCAAAGAATGGAGAAACTACCTGGGTCTGCCATCTTACGGGGCAAATCGTGCTGAGAAACGACATTGCACTCTTTGGTTAATGTTACTGTCTCCTTCTCCACTGTCTTCTTCCTAGCTAGAATATCCTTGAGAAATTTGGCATAGGAGAGCATTTGAGTGATTACCTCATGAAAAGGTATTGTGACCTCCAATTTCTTTATCATGTTCGTGAAGCGCTTAAACTGGCTGGCCTCTTTTTGTTGCACAAGTCGTGAAGGGAATGGAACTGGAGGAGATCTGGGAGGTGGAGGTACATACTTTGGTTCTTCCTCACATGTTATCTTAACTGGAATATCTGCAGACTGAATGTTAGAGCTGATAGCAGATCTAGAATAAAAAGACTCACCTTTTTCAAGAGTAGGGGGGACGACATCATCAAGTTGCTTCCCGCTTCTCAAGAACACTGCATTGCAGTGCTCTCTAGGATTTGTCTCGGGTTTCCCGAGAAGTGATCCTTGAGATCGCGAAGATATAGAGGTTGCGAGTTGAGCTATCTGGTTATCGACAAGCTTCAAGTGGGCGTCAGTCTCTTGTTGATGTTCACGCATCTCGGTGTGAATAGCTTCTTGACCCTGCAAAAGCTGTGCGACAATAGATTTAAGATCGAGGTCAAAATCTACCTGTTGTGAAGGCTGATAACACGCAATATATCATGGATTTTTATATGATTCGTCCGACATATTTACCTGATTTTATGATATCTCAGACGTTTAAGTGCGTGTTTAGCTTCGGTTTCGCTTTGGTTTAATCTTCAGGTACTACGCATTATGAGCGGAAAAATGAGCGAAAACCAACCGAATCCGGAATCAGAAGCAAAAACCGATCGTTTCAGAGCATTCTGAAACGATCGTTTCGCCTCTCGGAGAAGAACAGAAGATTTACTCAGAAGGAGAAACTGATCGGTTCATTGTGAGAGAACCGATCGGTTCGATCAACAGAAATTGAAGAATTGCTCAGAAATATGAACCGATCGGTTCACCATAATAAGAAACGATCGGTTCTCAGGCGAAAGTTTTTTGGAAACATTCCGATTTCGGCCAAAACAGAAAGAAATAAAAGGGAGAAATCTTCTGGGTTTGAGGGGATTCCGAATTTTGAGCAAAACAATCACCCAAGAGTAGAGAAAAGAGGGAGATTATCAGGAAGCAAGAGATTGGAGTAGAAGACGGAGATCACGAAGCCGAGAAATCGACTAAGAGTTTCTTCCTTATTCTATTTTACAATGTCTTGTTGTATTGATATGAACCCTGTCGTTTCGATGCGTAGCGAGTAGTCCCCTTGCTGCGGGTTAGGGATTTGCTATGTAGGGATCTATTGTTTTTTAATTCTAGACTGTGAATTTATTTATTCTATTCGGTTTATTGAGTTGAGATTAATGCTTTTGATCCTGTTGGCCACATGATTTAATGAACTTAGGGTTTTAATTCGCATAGACATATGGGATTCTAACCTGAAAATAACTCAATAAATAGAACAGGTATTGCATCGAGAGATGGATATTTGCCTAGGGATTATGATGGCATTCGTTCATGGATCCGGGATTTAGACTATTGAATCGAGAGATTAGTAGGATAAAACCTGGATAGTGAAGTTAGACTCGAGAGAGTTAATTTCTATTATAGAGCTTGAATTCCCTGAATTGGATTTATGAATTACAGAGATCTGCATCTTTAGAGAAGATCCTTGCATGTAAAGCAATCCCGAAGCCTGCAGTGTTTGCCTTTCATAGTTACAACCGTTTTAGTTAATTGTTTTGTTCTCGACATTCCATTCCTCACATTCCTATTATTTTTCTTGGATTTAGATTTGGATTTGGGTTTAACTCCTTTGCTCAGTTTTGTCCCTGTGCTACTACACACGATCCGTACACTTGCGGTTAATTGTTGAGTCTAGGATATTATAACTTGATCGAATTTATTCGCCTAGATTTTAGACATCAAGTTTTTGGCGCCGTTGCCGGGGACAATTTAGGCAACAGGATTAGATCCTATCTAGTCTTGATCTTTTTGTTTTTCTTTTTTCTTAAGTGATTTCTCACGTTTTTTTTTTCCGTTTATCTGTTGTTTATCGTTGTGTGCAGGGTTTCCTAGTGCATGACCAGAAGTGCTGAGACGTCAAACCTAGTGCCTTTTGATCCTGAACTTGAAAGGACCATTACCCACATCCGTCGACAGTAGAGGCAAATGGAGAACGATCGAGATCTTGCTTTTCCCGGTGATGCCGAAGGCAATGTCGATTCAACCTTCGCTCAATAAAACACACCGAAGCACACCGAGCTTATGGCCGATATACAACTGCCAACCATTGACATGACTCGTTTTGAGCTTAACCCTGCTACCATTCAGATGCTTAGCAATAATTCCTTCCGGGGTAGGCCAAACGAAGACCCGAACGCACATCTTACTCGTTTCAAAATGGTGTCGCTCGATCAAAAGAGAGGCCAGAGTGACGGACGATGACATCCGTCTACTCACTTTTCCCTGGACTCTTATGGATGCTGCATTGGAATGGCTATACGACTTAGCCCCTGATTCTATCCATATCTGGGATCAGTTGGAGGTTCAGTTCATGTCTAAGTTCTTTCCAACCCATCGCACTCAAGCAGCTCTCTCCGGTATACATTCGTTTAAGCAGGATCAAAGGGAGAGTTTACACGATGATTGGAAAAGATACAAGGGATATCAGAAATCATGCCCTCATCATGGGCTCGACAAGAATTATCTGATCAACACTTTCTTTCGAGGACTCCGCAACGATACCAAGACTTTAATCCGGCCTCCTACGGCAGCAGCATCCAAAACAAGTAATTCACATAATTGGAACAGCACATTGAGATGATGGCTCAAGAAGAAGACGTTCCAAATGATTATTCTCGCGATATACCAAAACGAGAAGGTGACCCCAGCCTGAAGATGGTTCTTGATCAGTTGGCAGTACTTAATGCTAAATTTGCAAGCGCCAATCTGATTTCTACCACAGATGTCCCGACACATCCACAGGAGGATCAAAACCGATGTCCTTGACTTGGAATCGATATTCCAATCAATAGAACTCAAAATCAAGCTTCTCTAAGCTCTCATGAGTTTCTTGGACGTCTGAGGTTTTATTATTAGGGTTTATGGCGGCTCCCCCTATTAATTAGAATTGCCTAAAACCCTTAAAACGCGAAACCCGAAAACTGCCCGTAAGTCGGACCGTCCGTTCCAGGCCTGGAACGGACGTTCTGACTTTCTACGCAGAACGGACGGTCCGTATTTCAACGTAGAACGGACGGTCTGA